GGGGCGGCTTGTTTTACAACGTCGTTGCCAAGCGACGAAAACCCAACCCCGATGGCAAACACCGGGGGGGAGCGGCTTGTTGTACAACGTCGTTGCCAAGCGACGAAAACCCAACCCCGATGGTAAACACCGGGGGGGGGCACAGGGGGGACGTGGCATTTTTCGAGGGCGAGAAGCAGCTGGAAGGGCCCGAGAGGTGACGGCAGATAAGGTAGAAGTGCATATGAGAGGCGCTCGAAGGGAGACCAAGGGAAATGAGCGGTGAGGGTCAAGAATAAGGGGAGGGCGAATGGAGAAGGGGAATTGATGCTGGAACTATTCGGGATTTATGGAAGTGAAGGATTAAGTGCAACGGCACCATTGATGATACACAGAAGGAAAGGGAAGTGGGAGGTATGGCAGAGAGGGAAGGCGACAGAACAACTGATGTGGTAGAAGGAAGGGAAAGGGGCTGGGGCGAACCTAAAACCGGAAGAGTTTGCGTTACATTCGGAAAGGATTGGTGGGGCGACGAGGTTGGCCGCGAAAGGGGTACGGGAGGCCGTGATAAAGAAGGAAGGGAGGTGGTCGTCGTGAGGGCGATATGCAAGACCCAGCATGGGTGTCGGCGGTGGAAGGAGGGGAAGGGGTATTTTGAGAGACCACCGGGGCAAAGGACGGAATGGGGAAGAAAACGTGAAGTGGGATCCAGAGTAAGGAGAACAAGACTTACTTCGTGATGGGGAGGCTTTGTGTCCAACCTGGGCGACCAGCGGAATGTGGTCAGCCTGGTTCTAAATTAAGCGTTTGGATTCCTTTGTAGGCTTAAGGGCTGGGGGAGAGGGGGAGAGTTCCACCTCCAAGACCCGGCCTTTGCCCCGCGACACAACCATAACAAAGGCATTTTTCGGGAAGTGAGGGACAAGAGTTGAAGGTTATGTTGTACAACCTGGTGGTTCGTCAGAACGATTAGAAAGATCAAAAGGCACCCAAGGTAGGAGAGCCAGGTAGACTATAGGCAGGGAGTCTATAGCGGAAAAAGTATAAGAAAAAGGAAAAAGATGCACCTTGCTCACAATGGGACCTACCGCCAGTTCCTTACATGGTGCATCGGCTGGAGCAAGCGGAAACGCTCAGACCGCCCCCTGCCCTATGCCCAGGCCCTCATCCAGGCAGGCTGCGACGAAACCATCGAGGCCACCGTGCGCGAACGGAGACTGTGTTTCGCGGGCTTTGTTATGCGCATGGAGGACAGCCGCCTCCCCAAGCGCATGCTGTTAGGAGCGATGGCGGGGTGCGTGGGATACCGGGGCGGGCAGGAGAGCGACTGGGTGTCTCGTCTAGTAGAGGACCTCGTGACCTTCAACATGGGAGACGAAAAGGAAGGGGGGTAAATGGAAAGAGAGCGTCAAGGACCCGGAGGTGTGGTACATCAAGGTCGAGGACAGGGCGACATGGCTCATGAGGAAATGGCACAGGCAGGAGGCGGAAGCGTCCGCGAAGCGCCAGCGCGCGAGGGAAGCAGAAGCAGAGAGTACGGCCATCTCAGGACCGAAGAAAAAGAGGACCGGCGAAGCGGCGGTGGGGGGGAAGCAACGGCGACCGGGCACTGCTGTAGAAGCGAGTAGGGCGGCCGAGGCAACGCTTGTGGCGAACNAGTAGAGGACCTCGTGACCTTCAACATGGGAGACGAAAAGGAAGGGGGGTAAATGGAAAGAGAGCGTCAAGGACCCGGAGGTGTGGTACATCAAGGTCGAGGACAGGGCGACATGGCTCATGAGGAAATGGCACAGGCAGGAGGCGGAAGCGTCCGCGAAGCGCCAGCGCGCGAGGGAAGCAGAAGCAGAGAGTACGGCCATCTCAGGACCGAAGAAAAAGAGGACCGGCGAAGCGGCGGTGGGGGGGAAGCAACGGCGACCGGGCACTGCTGTAGAAGCGAGTAGGGCGGCTGAGGCAACACTTGTGGCGAACTATGTACTCGGCTGATCTTGTTGCGCCCTGTTTCCCTCCCTGCTGTATGCTACTCCCTCTGTCCGAGAATATAAGCAAGGTTTGGAAATCCGGGAATATAAGCAAGGTTTGAAGAATATTGACGGAAACGTGCCATTTGGGCACGGTGGACGTCGGACAACTTTGGCAAACGATCACATATGACATTGGAGAGAGAAAAAAAAAAAATCCGCTCGNGCTGTCGGCGAGAAGGTAGCGTACCACCTCTTCTCTCTCCGAAACGTTGAAATTCTTGCGTTTGAGCCCCTGGGAGGCACTCCCAGCAGCAGACATGTCCCGCCAGCAGACGGGAAGGCGTTTGACCGGGGCTCCAAAGTTGGGGTGGTGAAATCGGGCGTGTTGTGCTGGGGTGCAACACACTTTGTTGAGGTGGTGTGAAAAGAGCAGCGGTTCTGCGCGCTGCGCGCCAGTGCGGCGGAACCAGAAAAAAAAACCGTTCGGAAAAAGAGTTCGGCAGACACGAGTTCTATTGCTTTTTGTCCAAACCTTGCTTATATTCTCGGACAGAGGGAGTATATATACTCTTTTATGTGTATGTCCTTTGTATTGCCTTCGGCCTCTGTGCTGTGTTTCTTTTTTTCATGACCTCCCTGCCTACTCTGCCGTGTTGGGTACCTTGATCTCGCTTTTGCTGTTGCCTTTGTTGTTGTACGTTTGGCTGTCTGCCCATCTGCCGCCTCTTTGTCCTGTTTGCTCCGTTACTCCCATGCCCTGGTGCGTGGTGCCTGGTGCTGGTACGTTACCCTTTGATTTTTTCTTTGGGCGTGTTCTATATTTTGATCGGTTTCCGAGGGCTCTTTTCTCGAACGGTCGGTACGATACCTGTTGTTCTTCCTTTCTATCATTTTGTTTTCTTTTTCCGAGTGGTTTGTACACTATTTTTGTTTTGTTTCCCCGCGGCGTCGCATGTGCCGGTTGAGACCACGGGCTCCCCATTTTTTGTGGACTAGACTATAGAGCAAAATTACATGTGAGAAACAACAAAAACAACAACACGCTTATTGGATGTGCGACGATAATAAAGACAACCTACACAAGCCCGCGAGGGAAGCAACGAAAGACATGCTTCCGGTTGCTTAGGTTGGCGCGCACTATGCAAAGGCTCACTCCCGCAAGTAAATCTATGGTCGATCACGATGCCATTCTACCAAGCAAAAGAGTTTGCCCAGCTTGGTCAAACAACAAGAGGCTCACGGGTGCTGCTGCTAGCATACGACGGTCGAAAAGCGGGTACTACGAAACACGATTGTTGGGTAGCCTAAAGCACAAGCAACCGGGTACAGCGCCATAACATATCCAAAACGACACATCGCGCGTCGAACGGAAAATTTCATCACACCCATCGTGCGCACCAAGTCCTACTGTAGTGCCTACTTGGCTAAGGTTTACCGTACCCACAACGAATCTTGCCAAGTACCAAACAAGAGGGTTCGCTGCGCCTGCAACATCCAACACGACATGACAGCCGCCATTATCAAAACCCGATGTGCGAACCATGGAGTAAAGCGCCTACTTCCACGCTCACCGTAGCATATAACTATCATTACTGAATCGACTAAACACCAAGGGTACACGCGAAAAAAAAAATCAAGACACATACACAAGGCCTACGAATCGAAATCGGAGGCCGAGCGGCGAGGGGGGGTCTATTTTTATATAATTGCGAAAGAGGCACCTTGGATAGAAACCCCTCTGCAATGAGGGGTGCAACGACTTTTTGTTCTAAACGCAGCCCCCCATACCAAATCTACGTAAAACCGAAATCGAAATTTGCCCTCCGGGAGGGGGGGGGGGCGTGTACTCCGACTGCTATGCATGCCATAACGGAGCACACCCGTCGGCTGAATGGGGCGCTCTACGAAAGCGAGATGCACGGCCCACCGGTACCGGCATGAGTTCTGTCCGCGACCCCGTGGTGGCCCGTACCCGACTCCAATGCCCGAATCGCGCTGTGAAAGCTCCCTCCGATATACAAAACAGCGAAACATGAAAATCTTCGAACATCCCGACCAACCGGATATTGAGCGACCCTTCCCGTGGAGTGAAGCCCCGAGCAAAAAGGGTTGAAACGCACTCAAAAAAAAAATCGAAAGCACAGGCTTCGGTGCACGACCAGCTCGCGCTTAGTGGTCATGGCCCTCGTGTCCCTCGTCGGCGTGGCAGTGTGCGTGGAACATGAGGGGGATGCCAATGACGAGCGCTCCGAACGCGAACGACCCGAGCTTGCGCAAGGAATCTCCCAGACCCTTCCCGTCAACGGTGGAGGAAAGGGCTTCCGGCAGCAGCTCGGTGAGGCCGATGAAGATGAAGGACCCAGCGCCCAACAGGAGGATGATCGCGATCTGGAAGGTCGTGAACTGGTCACCAAGCCCCAGGATGAGGACCGCCCCCAGGATGGCGGGAATTCCGGACGCCAAGTTCCAGGTGAGCGCCTGAAAGCGGTCCGCAAGGACGGGCGGCGGGAAAATTAGGTGGATTGGCATTGGTACAAAGGACAATGACTTAAGCAGCTGTATGTCCACCTACTCTCCACCACGAAACAAAGAAAGGAAGAAGCCAAGTCACCATGCAACATGCAGCACAGCGACGTGAAGCGTGGCGTTTCGTGCGTGGCAGGGGGTGGGCGCGGTGTCCAAAAAGGAATAACGCTTCATGTGCGCTCCTGAGGGAAAGGGCGTGCCAGGGCCAGACTGGTCACGGCACACCAAGACGCCGGCACTGAACCAGCACGTGGGACAGCAGACGGTATGCCACGCCGAGGGCAGCGTGTTCTCGGACAACAACAAAAACAGCCGGTCGACCAACCAATGACGACGCTATGTACAAACAAAACCAACCTGCTTGATGCTCATGCCACCGTTCAGGAGGGCGACGAAGTCGGCCATCTCGCTGGGAACCTCGTGGATCAACGTCGACGCCGTAATAGTCCAGCCCATGGTTGAGCCGCAGCTGAGGAACGCCGCCCCGATCGTGAAGCCACAGGTGAAGCTGTGCACCTGGTGTTTCGAGCACAGAGATCGGCTGAGACTCAGTGGGACACCTTGGTTGGAGGCACCGACGGAAGAGGAAACGTGTTTATATTTGGTTGTACGGACGTTCGTCATGCGTGTAAATCCACAGAAGCCACTCACCGCATCGCCGACAATCACATTCCAGCAGATAGGCTTGAGCCCCTTGAAGTCAAACAACGCCCTGCCCTTCCTCTGCTGGACCAACTCCCACAGATTCTCCGGGATCGTCGGCGTGGTCGGCCCCCTCGACTGGCTTCCGTCTGCTCCAACAACCTTGGCGGTGGCCGGAGCGCCTGTGTGCGAGTGGCCCGCCGTGCACACCGCGCGAATGATGATAGAGGCTGTGATACCAGCGAGCATGGTGACGCCGGTGTGGATTCCAAGGTCGTGCAGGCCAAGCTCTGCATCCTCAAAGCGCTCAAACGACTCGGGGATGATGTGAATCAAGGCTGCCGTGAGGATTGCGCCAGTCGCGAACATGTACGCGTGCGAGAGGTCGATGCCGTTCGCGATGCGCTTGCTGATGAGCAGGAAAATACCCGCGAAGCTGCCGCGCGACAATTGGAGGCAGCAGACGGGGTTGAGCAGAGGGTAGGTGAGGTGAGGGTAGGTGAGGTGAGCTGGTGTCCAACAGCTGCGAGAATGAAACATGTGTTTGCCCCTGACGATCTTTATCCCCGTACATAATTCTGTTGCTGCAGATTTTCGGGGCCGAGAGTCAGCGTAGGCCATAACAAGCCTGAAATGGTGTTTCTTATTGCAATTTCCACATACCGTAAATCTTCTTTGAGATGTCATCGGGGACGGGGTTCACATAATTGTTTTGTTCGTGAATGCACATCCCCGACCGTACAACCGAAAAAAGAAAGGAGGAGGCGATGTTTCGTGTTTCCAGCAGCCCCTACATCAACCCGGTGGGAATAAGATAAAGACAAGACATGATGTCACCGACCGCACACCTCCTTCGCTACTAGGAACTGCAACTGGCAAATCTAGGAGCAACGGTTCAACATGCTTGGGTAAATCGTCGACTTGGCAACGGCAGGCGGGTCAAGAAAAAATCGAACACAATGGTGGAGACGAAGATCAGCTGGCTGGGCAACGAACGTAGCATAAAGTATTGCTGCTGTTGTTCATGTTGGTTCGTGCACGTGCCAGTTCGGCATTCTTGTTCCGGGTTAGTTTTCAGACCAGCGAAACCGTACTTTTCGGGCGGGAGGGGGCGTTCAGCTGCTGCTGCATTGACCGGATGACACGTTCAATAGTTCACCATCAAATCCTTATTCTGCGGTATTGCGTGGCGCCGGATGCGGCTTGATGCACATCGCGTGACACAGTCGCAGCACAAGTGGTGGAAGGAAGAAGGAAGAATTTGTACTCTCTCGGAAAGATCTCGCGAGGGAATGATCACCCCGGGGACAGCAAAACAAAAACAAAAAGCAGGGAGGGTCTCAACTTCTCGCTAACAACCGCGAGGGCACCTCAGCGAAATATTGGTCCGGGTCAAACAGATATCCGGGGGTCAGGCATCCCAATACATCTCCACAGGGGAGGGACGACTCGATGGCCACGATGGTGTTAACATCTGGTATAAATAGACTACAGAACACCATCTCGGTTTTCGTCCCTGGTACTTGATCCATTTCCTTACTCCACCGGGAAGGGTTGTCAGGGAAGCTCCGTAGTTGAAGTAATAGAATGCTCTCCGTACCTGGCGAAGCAGGCGATGCATGTCGCAACCATAGCTTGTGCCCACTTTGCTCCGGACACCGTGTCTCCCTCCTCCTCCTCCTCCTCCTCCTCCTCCTCCTCCTCCTCCTCCTCCATCCCCTCGCTCACGGAGGCAGCCACCGCCGTACCCGACGGGGAGACGAGAGCCGTACTCACCTCCCCGCCGCCGTGCTCGAGCAGCAGGGCGTAGGCTCCCGCGTCCGTAACCTCGGCCGGCACCACAACGATGGACTCGTCGAGGGTGGTCTGGTACACTACGGTCGCGTCCGGGATGGCAGTCTCACCGAAGGCTAGAACGGTCGCGTCTTCTTCGCCGTCCATGAACGCGTCCCACGCTGTTCGGCACGAGGGGAGAGGGAAGGCCGGGTGCGGGGTGACTTCGACAAGAAAAGCGCTTGTTTGGGACTTTGTGCGAAATCACACTTGGAGTCAGACCGGATGTATGGGTCACGCGGGGCTCCTTGAAGTCAGCCTCCAGACGGCGGTATGATGTACCGTGACGTTTGGTGTTGCTCAATTTTCGGGTACACGCGTTACATTCCCGCAGACCGCCCGTTTGGACTGTATCACAGCAGCAATCTCCCAATATAGTTTGGCGCCTCCAACGATGCACATGGAACTTCATCCCCCGTAAACATTCGCCGAAAAGTGCGGTCAAAACTGACTTTTTACCTCGCCCCGGAGGTCAACACTTCTCTTTGACGAAAAGAAACATCTCTGGCCCCCTTTTCATCTCGCCGCGGGGTGTGTGTGTTGACGTGAGCCGAATATTTCTTTCAACAACCCTACAAATGCAAAGTGATTTCGCGGTTCTCGAATTGAAATATCGAGTTCATTATTCCAGTAAACCTGGGGTGTCCGTTGTAATATTCCTGCTCATTACCGATCACTTCAATAGAGTATTGGCATTAGTCGCTGAGGCCTCCTGCCCAGCTCGGCCAGCGGGCTCCACCCAAACTTCCTTGGCGCCCTTGTGCCTCATTCTACGATGGGGGTACTTTCGTGCAATTTCAACAGCGATATTGTGGCAAAAACTGGCCAATTCCATGCTGTTTGTTTACTTGTTCTAGATGAAGTACATGGCCGTGGGAGAAGAGAGTCAAACCGACAGAGACAAGACACTGTCGGTGATTTGTGACGTAGACGGTCTTATTAAATCCAGGCGCGATCTCCCCGATCGATTCTTCCTGATGCACAACAAACGCTTTTCTCTGGTGGGAGGCGATCGTGGTAGACATAGAAACGACGGCTTCCTAACTTTCTAGATCAACACTGCTGAGTCCCGGATACATTCTTAGTCATACACGCACAACGACGCTGATTTCGTTTCGGGTCAGATGTTCATGGCTATTTTGCCCTCGTATTGTTGGATGTTTGCGTTCCGACATACATGCATACTACGTGTGTTTCCCGAGTTGAGGCTTGGGATCGGGTCAGAATGACACCTTGAGGTTGGCACGTCAGGAAGGGCTTGTGCGAAACAATGTCTGTCTGTGCTAGACTACAGAAGAGTGCAGCAGACCCACAGAAACATTGATTGAATGATTAGGTACGGCCCGTCGGTGCACGCGCCTCTGAATGATGCTCGGCCGCGGTATGCTGACTACACCTCCTGACACGGCATCCACTTTCTTCCGCATGGTGTGATGCTTGCGGTGCACATGCTGGCGTGTGATGACGTCTCGTGCTGAATAACGCGATGATCTCCTGACTAGTGCCGGTACGGCATTTCTATCTACAATGTAGCGGAATTCCTCAGAACCTGATAATGCCGGTACCGGCACTATTCAGGCAAAAATTTACTGTAATTCCGGTGGCCTGCTATAATGCCGGTGAACTCGGCGGATCGCCGCACCGGCATTATTCCGACAACACTATTCTGTACTGTACCCACTGAGAAAGGGGTGGGCATACCCACTCTTGCACGTGCACTCTTCTTGTTTTCTTGTCTATTCCCCATACAGCTGTAGTATATGCATACATGAAAACTGCTTCGAGAAAAAATGGCTCTTCATTATTTGCACCGCTGCACACCTCATGTCGTGTACCGTACTTTCATATCATGTCCAAGTAGTATTTCTTCTGACAGACAGTATGACTGATAGCAGCAACTTGAACGGAACCACATGATAATCTCACAACAAAAGTGAGGGCGGTCACCCGTCTACGTACGCACTTGCCACCAATGCACATTCTAGCCGGCCGGCCACGGCACACGAATCTTAAGGGAATGACAGCGTTCAAGAGTGCATGGAGTCTGCGCTGGCTTCGGGAAGCATTAGGACGTTGTCAAGTCATGGGATCTAACGCGGCAACAAAATCCTCTTCCTACAGTAGACTATGTGTACTTCTACACTAAGGGATTGAAGGGCCCCGCCGCCCCCAGTGGGCGCCGGGGTCCGAATCGCAAACCGAACGTAGTTAAGTTGAATGATTTGAAATTCTAAAAATGTGTGCTGTGTTGGGGTATGGTCGTGCTTAACGTATAGCAGTCGAAGATTTGAGTGATGGCCCGATAACGCCGTTGAGCTCTGGGCGACCCGGTTGTGGCCTCTCAGGGCTGGACCAATGGGGTATATAATGTCTAAACGTCCATCAACCGATGCTTTTTTGTGCAGGCATGTTTGTTGTTGTGCTGTTGCAGCACTCGTGAGATGGCCATCGCTTCTTCTGTGAGTTTTTTCGCCTGATCTGCAAATCCACCGCTAAACCTGGACGGCATGATAACAATCTATCGGCTGGGGCAGATGTAGAGTCCCCCAGGGATCTTGTTATCCGTGACATCGCCGAATTGTGGCGTAATGACGTGCGTCACTTGTCGGGGTCATTGCGTGAACGGTGAGTCGTTGATCCTCGATGCCGCTGAATACTTCGATGAGGAATTCGTTCACCAAAGGACCAAGGTGTTAAAATCGGGGTTCCCGTACCACCAAGTGTGCCACCCATTGTGCGGGCGTGATTTTATTCCCAGTTGTGCTTTTCAAGGCAACGTGCCAGCCGGATGCCCTGCCTCGTGGGAAAAGCAACGGGAACGTGAAAAAAAAATCCTCGTCGTAAGCGGGTATGACGTTCTTCTCGCCTAGTAAGTGTCCTGGTCATTGCTGCTCTGTCACGTTGAATGACCCCTTTTGCGCGTTTGTCGACGGCTATTATTTCCGCAGAAGGAGCGTCAGGTGACGAAAACGCCAAGGAGTTAGGTGTCGTTCTGGATCGAGGCCTTGAGGTGACATAAGAGTTGATTTTTCGAATTTTGGCCAGTGTTTTCTTACAGATTTATGTATGCAATGAATGCAGACAGTACATTTCTCATGACATTGCGATCATTGTGTTACCATGCTAGCTTATTACTGAGGAGGGAAATGAAACAGATATATGTAGTAATTGTTTGGTATCAATTGAAGGAAGAATATGATGTATCTGTGTTTTTGGTTCACATCGCACGCAGTGGTTCCTCATTGCAGCTGGAAGGCGGCCAATATTCGGCGAAAGAGTCCTGTTGTAAAGCCGTCTGCATCTTCGTCATGACGGTTTCATCGAAATCGCCCCAGCCACCCGTAGTTGGGATCGTGCAGTAGCCATTGAACGTTGGAAAGCAAGCTTTCCCTCACTGAGTAGTAAGTTCTGCAACTTCCTCGGGGATGGAAAGGGCGACGTCGATAAAAAATCGATGTTAAAATTTCAAAAATAATCACTTCTTTAGCAAGTAACATTGAGGTCGATCGGTGAAATGCGCGGTGTATTGACATGTATACATTCGTTGAAGATGTACACACTTGGAGGGTAGACTAGAGATGGAAAGTAGAAAAAAGAAAAAGCACGGTACCTCACCTTCCTTGGACGGACAAGAGATGGCCACCAAACATCCGTTTCAGTTGTCCGTCTTCGACATTCGCCGACGCGAAGTTCGAGCGGAAATTTGCGCTCGGGATTCTTTGCCGAATTTTCGTGAGGACGAATTGTAGCAGATGTGTAGAGGTCTTGGAGGATGGGTGGCAGGGGTGGTAGGCAGTCGAGGAAGAACGTTATTTCCCACTTTTCAGCATATCCCTTCAGACTCTTTTTGGCGAAATTCATGGCTGCACTATGCTTGCAAGGGTCAGCGCGTTCCACCGTTACGTACATTTGAGCAGTGGCCAAAATCGGGTACACCCGGTCAAAACACGGCCATAATCGGGTACCCCTACAAGATGCTGCTGGGAGCGTCATCCCAGCAGCATCTTGTAGGGGTACCCGATTATGGCCGTGTTTTGACCGGGTGTACCCGATTTTGGCCACTGCTCAAATGTACGTAACGGTGGAACGCGCTGACCCTTGCAAGCATAGTGCAGCCATGAATTTCGCCAAAAAGAGTCTGAAGGGATATNACCCATTTCGTCGGCCGCATACAGCAGTGCTTCACGTCGCTGGGTGATGAAAGTGTTCGGACGCGACATATTTCCTCGCTGTCTCGTCGAAAAACCATGATAATGTGGATCGTCGATGCAGTTCCTTCAAAATAAATGTCGTCCAGACGATCCCTATTCGCCGCAAAAATATCAGATCATCTGCGTTTTTCCTGATGGGTTTTACGTTTCCTGTTCGAGGATGGTTTGGGCTGGGTGGCGCTGAGTTATTTCCCCGTGTTCATGGCAGCACTGTTGTTCGGCTGTGGGGCGCGTCGCCTCTTCCTATTTACCGCCAATTTGTTCCGAGCGTGATCATATGCACGATTTTGGTCGTTCTTGCGCAATCGCTGTCGTTTTTCTTTTCGTTGTAGACTATGTTCGTCTGAACAGTATTAGTAGCATCACGAGACGTAGCTCGGAGATGTCGAAGTGAAGTGCAGATGTCATTGACAGTGGTGGTTGCGAGAACAGTGCAGAACTCTAGGTTGCACGTGTTGCAGCGGTGGGCACATGCAACACTCGGGGTCGCCGTTGGACGTACACCAGAGGTACTTTCACGAAGAAGGCGGTCTGCATATCGCTCTTGATTGTTGATTCGCTGGACGAGGACATGCATGCTTGTGATGCTGTTGGCGGGTGACCCACACATATTCCCCTTACATGTCTGCCACCCACATTTGAAAGCCTGTTGCACACGTTATGCAGAATCGTGGACTGTGTGGGTGATGCAGAATTACTTCAGAAGCTGTGTACCTTTGTTGTCGTAATCTACAAGACAGCTGTATGTCGTCGTGTGATGGGTGCATGTTACGTGGGACAGCAGCTGCTTGGGACAGCAGCAGCAGTGCATAGACTGACATGCCTGGACGCTGTGTACGTCGACGAGTTACTACTACGTGCAGTGACAAACAGTGACAAACACATAAAAGGTCGCAGTACCGGTCCCTCTGCTGCTGTGTGTATCATACAGTCTTGTGAATCGCGCATCTGGTATGCATATCACACGCTACATAGAGCATTGCATAACACCGGCAGGAGGGCACATTTTCGCTGTACAGCAATGGGATGCTGTGTGGATCGCGCAATTACCGTTTTAACGTCAACACAGACCGGGTTTTGTCCACGCATGCACATCTTCAAATTTTTTTTCCAAGAAACACTGAAAGCTTGTGTACACATGTTCAAAAAAACTTCCAAGAAACACTGAAAGTTTGTGTAGAAAGACTCCTTCACTATTATCTTGTAGTGGGTCCGACGATGACGTTCCTTCTTCCCCTCGCTGCCTCAGCAAGGCTTTACCGTAGGCATGGCCCACAGCGAGGGGGGGGGGGCTTTCTAGCGAGCATGGCTCGACTCACCCTCAAGGGGCCGATCCCTTTTTGTTGCGGCGCACCCGCCGCGAGGTGTGCGTAGTGCTAGAGCTGGGTCGGCACTGGCGCGTAAGGTACAAAAGTGCAGATGCGCGGGCCTCATGGCCGTAGACGGCAATGTCCATCTCAGTTTTGTGCGCGGCGGCAGACGCCATCAGAAAGGTGGACGGGCACTATGTAGACGGCCCAAGGTTTGCTAGAGGGAGCTGTACTGTCTCAGTATCCTGGCTTCGCCATCAAAGGGGAGGAGGGAACAGGTGGTGACGAGCTGAGCGGGCTGGTTGACCCTTCGGCGCGAGAATTTTCAGACCAAGAACTCCAAGTGCAACGACGGAGAAAGTGAGGAACCGACTGGGAAGGACAGCAACGAGAGCGTGTACGGACGGAGCGAGTCGAGTTTGGTCCTGCTAGGACTGGCGGTAGCGACACCAGAGCAGCGGCGCCGGAGCAGCGGCACCGAGGCGGCGGCATCGGAGCAGCGGCATCGGAGCACACGGACGACATCGAACCGTGACGCATGGACGAACATTTTGCGTTGTACAATATTTCCGTTTTTTTCCTGTGAACATCGGTGTTGGGTGGGTGCGATGACGTCGTCACTGGTTTTGTAGAAAGACGCGGCAGAGATGGCGCGGATACCCCGGGTGCCTTCATTGTGTACCTGCATCGTGTAAGACCTCTTCAAGGTGGAAAGATTTCTAGTCAGTGTCGACTATTTACACTGCTGTGTCCGACGCAGACAGATGATCGGGGGTGGATTCGGTGATTGTTAATTGCAATGATGGCTGTGGTTGGTTGTTCTTTTTCACCATTATGTCCACTGACGCATGCTGACGGCACTTCAGACAGCAGTTGCGCGCCCCGAACTTGTACCATGCCTACCATGGTGTAATTGTACAGGCAGCACTCCGGACAGGTGTACGCTGTATTCGACAAACTTTCATTTTGGTGAAGTGTGGGACAGTGGGGATGATGCTGCTGTGATTGAATGTAGAGTGTGGACGGGTAGTTCAGTTTTTGGGCACGCAAACGTGCTGCAGGGATGTAGGTGTACCCTTGCTAGTTTGCGTGTTCTTTATTTCTCCTGATGGCTCTAGCATTTTTGTGACCACGGACCGCGTCTTCGCTAGTTTTTGGGATTAGCAACTGACACGAGATTAATGTGAAGACAACTACAAAAACAATTCCTACGACCAATATACTTGATGCAAAACAATGCATGTCTCGTGGAGCAGGCTGGGCGCTTTCGCAAAAAAAATCGCCCTCGGAACTGCGGCGTTAACAAACATTTGCTTCGCCTCGGGAACAGAAGGGAAGATGGCCACGGCCGTATGTTCATGTTGGCGCACGCCCACTCCCTCGAACAATAGTTTACGCACACAGATGAGATACATTTGAGTCACGAGCGAAAAAGCAAGTTGTCGGTGTCGGTACATAAGGGCAACCACTGCAACCCTGCTTATAACCATATACATACATAACTTGAAGTACATGGTACGTATTTTTAACCATATTTTTTTTTTTGGGCACGCATGTATGTTGTTGTCTTCACATTAAAAACCATCCATATTTTTTTTTTTGTGCACGCATGTATGTTGTTGTCTTCACATTAAAAACCATCCCGGTCTCTTTATGTACATGTCAGAAATTCTCACCAGCCTCGGCATCTTCCTCCGCCCCTTCGAGGCCCTCATCGTCAGCAGAAGCAGCAGGCACGAGCATGAAGGCAAGAGTGCCCTCGAAGGCCTCCCCCGGCACGGCGATGACGGAGTGGGTGCCTGCCTCCTCCAAGGAGTAAACAGCAGCAGCCTCGAAGTGCCCGTCGGAGGAGTGCGAGTCGTGGTCCGTGTGCGAGTCATGGTCAGAGTGGCTCGTTTCGCTCGCTGTGGAACACGCCAGGTATAGCGCAGCGGCGAAAAGGGACCACTTCATCTTGGCACCAGAGAGAGAGCAGAGATCGAGGAGGGATCCAAGGAAGGGAGAGATGTGGTTGCGTGGGAGGGGGCTTTTGGCCAGGGCGGCGTCACAACAGAGAGAGAGAGAGAGAGAGATCTTGACGCCGTCGGATAAGAATGCAACTGCAGCAGAAGTGCCATTCCGCCGTCGGATAAAATGTGACCCCGAATCGTCAGCTACTGAGCTACCGATCTCGATCCCATCTGGGGGGCGCACATGTGAGATCCTGCTCTGCATCTGCATGCAAAGTAGCCGAAGCAGTACTTGCACAACGGTAAACCCCAGGAAGAACGTACTTTCTGTGACAAGACTAGTTTGCGTAGGCGTTGAAATTGACTGGCAACACTCCTGATCGAAACACAGTCAATCCGCACGTATTGTCTACATAGATTAGTTACCTGCTTGCTGCTGCTGCTTTGCTGACCGCCGCCCGATTGTTGCCTCGCTGCTCCATTACACATAAGAAGGATAAGAAGGATTGAACTCCATCTGATACAATCGAACTGCTATCACCGTCCTACCTGCAATACTACGTATCCAACTCCCCTCAAACGCGTCTCACCAATACTCATCACACAAACAGCTTGCTCGAACCTGTCAACTCCTGTGTTTGAAAAGAGAAAAATGTCTACAGCAGTAGTAGCTCAATCTTGTGTGTACTTCGTATAGGGTTAAGGATTGGCCGCCCGCCCCCCCAATGGGGCGGGCGGCCACATCGGGATGGATAACGGTGAGGGTTTGGGGGCAGGTTAGTAACAGGAAGAAGGAAGACGACACGTTAGATTAAGTAGCAAGAGGGGACGGTGCATGGAGACGCAATGAAGACGTGAAGAAGTGAAGACGTTCGCGAAGGGCGAGAGGGCACAAGAGGGTGAAGCATCGGCCACGGCGCCCCCAGTGGGCGGGGTGCATGAGGTGTGACAGATGTCGAGTAGGTTCGCGAGAGCGGCCGACAACGTGTGCTGCGCGGCTATGGTCGATGCTGTCAATCCTTTACTACATACCGTACTGCTGTAGACAAGCCCCTTCGGATTTTCATTCTGAAACAGCCGCAATGTGTCACGGCACGACAACAATCATCCTGAGAGTATTACTTCACACGATTTGCTAGGGTTTCCCACAAATACAAACCCATCGCATCCACTTCATGCCACGTGCAAAGAGTACAAGGTGAGGCCCCGCGGGTGATGATGCACTGCTGTGGCACGACCAGCAATAGTTTGATGAGGTGGACCAACACACGGCACACGGCAGCGTGATGAAAAAACACCGGACCGTTGTTCCGTTTCATCTGGTCAGTTCATGGACCTTATGACTCCCCACATTTCGGCTTCTCCATGAGCATGTCCCGCCAACGACCTCCTGTCGTCACAGGGCTTCGAGGTTTTGGCATGATACACGTTTCGGTCTGTCACGCTTATTGTTCGCCATGTACACCCGCCGACTGACGTCATGAGTTGCGTTACGACATACGTGCAGCTCGTTCATCTCCTCAACAGTTCTCGCACAGTATCATCACATAAAGTCAGCTTGCATGCACGGGTGCAAACATGTCCGAGCTTCGTCGAGCGCATGCAATGAGAAGAACAGTCACCTTTCAGAGCGCCCTGCTGCCTTTCCCCCATTCAACACACACACAAAGTTTCCAGGTTTGAACCCTTGCCTGGATGCCGAAGACCGTGTCAACTATAGATGTGCACCTGGCACGACCTGTATGCGTGAGTCGTGCCATGTGTATCTTCATTCTTGAAGCAAGACCTCAGGCAACTGCTGGTATTCTACGATCAAACTGATGTAGTTCTTTCGTCGCTGTTTCCGTCACACGTCATGCCTTGATGAATGAACACCCCCGTGCAAGCACGTACATCTGTTTGCCCCGTGCGGCCCCCTCATCTCTCCTCTCTCTCTCTCTCGCCCTCTCCCTCTCTCTCTCTCTCTCTCTCTCTCTCTCTCTCTCTC